ATTGCTAAGATATTTACTTGACACATTTTCAAAAATACAAAAATAAGTTTCGAATTTCACAAATCAGGTTTTGAAATTTTTTATTTATGAATTAATGAATTATTAAATTAATTTATTGTTAAATATTTAATACTATTATAATATTATTACCCCACCTCCACCTCCACCACCCCTACCATTCCGGGGACTATTTCGGCTACCGTTTCGCTCACAACTCATTTTCGGGGACCGTTCCGACGACTGCTTAGATTCCGACGACGATTTCGATGACCGTTCATCTGTCACTTTGTTCCAGTGACTGCTCCGATTCCGACGACGATTTCGACTCCGACGAAAATTTTTAGGTTACAATTCAAAATTTTCATAGGTTACAATTTGTTATTGGTCACAACTTAAAATTTTAAAAGTCACAATTTGTTCATCGGTCACAAATCACAAAAATTATAAGTCAAAATACTTATTTAGGTCACAATTTTTATCAATTTATTGGTCACAATTAATAATTTTTAGGTCACAAATTAATAATTTTTAAGTCACAATTAATAATTTTTTGGCCACATATTGTCAAATTTTTAGGTCACAATTAAATATTTGGTCACAGATAACCAAATACTTGGTCACATACCACCAACAATAACCAGTACCGTCGCCGTCCTCGCCACGAAACCGCTACCACCTCATGGCAACCAGTACCACTGTCATCGTCGCAACAACCAACACCCCACACAAAACACCACTACCACCACACAAAAACACTACCACCACCGTTGCATCCAACCACATAAGAACACCACCGCCGCCGGATCTGTGCACAAAAGCCATCAAAAACCTTAAAAACTACAACAGATCTGTACACAAAAACCATCAAAAACCACAAGAACTACAACGGATCTGTGCACAAAAACCATAAAAAACAACAATAATCACTAGGCGTCGAACTGCAGCGGCGTCGCGATGCTGCTACTGCGAGATCGCTACTGCAAACTGCAGCATCGACGTCGCTAAAGGCAGCGTCGACGCTGCCGTGAACTGCTACGCAGAGAGAGGCGTTGGAAAGAATGGACCGCGTGATCGTTCTCAGACCATGAAGACAAGAGAGGGGAGTGGAGGCGGCGATGGGTGGAGAGAGTGGAGACGGTGAGAGGGTAGAAATGACGGAGAGACTGTCGGTTTCTTCCGAATATATTAGGGTTTGATTAGATTA